GAATCTCAGCTAGTTTTTTCTCAGTGCCCATAAGAATTGGCCAAGATCTGTTCAACTTCTCTGGTATTATTTTTCTACCTCATAGTGCCCTAACTTGTTCCTTGCATTCCTTGAGATTTTTTAAGACTCTTCATAATCCTGCCCCAGATTGTTTAACAACTTCACACATGCCACCTTGTCCCTGAGTACAACACTTCTAATTCCCAACCATGTAATGGGTTTTACGCTTGCCCCCCATATCCTTAGTCACATGTGTCTTCTTGGCATGCCTTCCACACACACACCCTTTATTTGTTCCAGTTTTATATTCCTTCTTTACAGATTCGGTCAACACTGAATATTTCCTCTTTCTTTTGCTTACACTGTCACAGAAATTTATTTTTCTCTACTGGGCGTCCATGAGACACAGTTGCCTACCTAATTTTTTCCACTGGTTATAAATAAGTTTTGCTGGAACACAACTATGCACATTCCTTTAGATATTGTCTAAGGCGTGTGTGTGTGTGTGTGTATGTGCCAGTGGCTTCTTTTTATTATTTATTTTTATTGTGGTAAAATGTACATATCATATACATTACCACTTTAAACATTTTTAAAAATTGGTGTACCATTTTAACCATTTTTAAGTGTACAATTGAGTGGCATTAGAATTATACATTCCCCTATGTATGCAACCATCACCACTATCCATCTCCAGAACGTCTTCACCATCCCAAACTGAACCTCTTGCCTGTTCAAAAAAACCCTGTAATCACCTTTCTCTTAGCCCCCGGTAACCTCTATTCTACGTTCTTTCTCTATAAATCTGACTATTCTAGGTATCTCACATAAGTAGAATCATATAATATTTTTCATTTTATGGCTGCCTAATTTCACTTAGCATAATGTTTTCAAGGTTCACTGACGTTGTAGCATGTATCAGAATTTCCTTTCTTTTTAATATTGAAGAATACTCCGTTGTGTATATACACCATGTCCTCTTTATCTATTCATCTGTCAATGGATATTTGGATCATTTCCACCTTTAGGCTACTGTGAATAGCTGTGAACATTTATGTATAAATATCTGTTTGAGTCTCTGCTTTCAATTCTTTTGGATATATACCTAGAAGTGGAATTTTTGGATCCTACCTGATTTTAATTAACTTTTATTTTGTGACCTGCTATTAGCCCATGAGCTTTTTTTTTTTTTTTTTTTCCTTGCGTTATGCGGGCCTCTCACTGTTGTGGCCTCTCCCATTTGCGGAGCACAGGCTCCGGACGCGCAGGCTCAGCGGCCATGGCTCACGGGCCCAGCCGCTCCGCGGCACGTGGGATCTTCCCGAAACGGGGCCCCAACCCGCGTCTCCTGCATCGGCAGGCGGACTCTCAAGCACTGCGCCACCAGGGAAGCCCAGCCCATGAGCTTTTTGACATTAGGGGTTCTACCTTAGTCTTCTTTATCAGGCCTAAGCACAGTCCCTGATATAATATAGATTGGATTTTAAAAGGGATTTTATGGGGATAAATAAATGGAGGAATCATCTCCCTGCTCACACAGAGAACAAGCTTATGAGAGTGGATAGGGGCAGTTGGTATCTAAGTGCCTGCTGCTTGCTCTTAGTCTCCCCAGGATGATCCCTATGGCAAGTCTAAACTTAACTACCAGCAGTGATTCCCCAAGTATATCTATTTTCTAGAAATCACATGTTCTTTATTTAAATAATTGAATCTTCAAGAATATATGGTCTGATTCTCACTGCCACTATAATTAAGTTCCAGAAAGCAGGAGTATTTTTCCCTTTTGTGTTCTAAGTACATCAGTGCCTGACATATGAATTTGTTGAATGAATTAATCAGTAAATCAGTTCTTAAATTTATAGCATCTTTTCCACATGGAGAACTCCTCCCCTCTACTGCCACATGGGGAATCCCCAGATGAAATGTAGATGATGGTGCTTTCTTGTTCAGGAGTTATTCCTCTCCCCTGGGATCTAAATTCTAGAAACTTGTTGTATCTACTTTGTATAATTAAAATGAAGGTATCATGGCAAATTATTGTTTGCATGTATAGGAAAAAAATCTATGTGAATGCCCAGTAATTTGAAATTCTGATATTTACTTCAGCACTGAATTAGGAAAAATTTGCATGGGGTACAACTAAAATTCAGCTGTCCACTGAGAAGCATCTGCATTGTAGAAATAAGCAGACGTGTAATGTGTTACAATGGCAGTATCACCTTGACTTCCCTATACCTAAGAAAATCAAGGTCTTTCACCTTAACCAGCTTTCAGGACCTCTGCTCATCCACTCTTCAATACAGCCTTACTTAAATGTCCATTTATATGCTGTCCATTTACTTCAGGCTGACTTCTCTGTAATGTCCATGTGGTACCATCCTCACATGTAATCTATTGCGTAGCTTAGTAATGCCCTCTACTATAAATTATGTGTGGAATTAAGCTATGGACTTGTATCTAGATCTTTTATCCTTATTTCAATGATTCTACATTTTTCTGTATCAATTATTTGTTTTAATCCAATCCACCAATAATTTGTATATAGTTGGGATATAAAAATAAATTTAAGTATTAGATTATCCATTGAACCTACAAATAAGTTTACGTGGGGAGTACTTGGGAGTGATTTGGCAATGAAACTGAAGAGTAGCCTTTTTATTCTTTTCACCTGGATTTCCCACATAGCTTCATAGTTTTAAAAGTTATAATTAATAGGATTTAGAAAATTAAGATGAATGATAAAGAATATATTTTAGCATTGAGTGAGAAAATGGTAAACCCATCTTACTGGAGGAAGAGACAAGAGGGAAAGACAGATCCAAGTGAGACTTGGTTCAGTAAAGGTTTAGAGCCTGAGAGAATGAAAGGTTTAACCAAAATGAATCTCGGCTATTCAGTGAAGCTATCTAGAAGAGGATAAATGGGAAACTCTCTCAGGTCAGTACCCTCAGGACGAGACAAAATGGCAGAGTCCTGGAGACAGCCGAAAGAAAAGTCAACCAAAGGTATCAGTGAGCCTAGGGATAGTAAGTAGGGAGAGGAATCTGAATTCTCAGCCCTCAACCCTTGCTCTGATAGTTTCACCCCCATTGTATAGACCTTAATCTGAAGTTGCATATTTGCTTTATTGTGATATTCTCTCTTTTTAAAGTATCCCTGGATACTCATTTTTAAAGTTAACCTTCTTCTTTGAGATAATTGTAAATTCACATGTAGTTCTAAGCAATAATACAGAAAGATCATGTGTACCCTTAACCCAGCTCTACCCCAATGGTAACATACATTAAAATTATAGTATAATATTACCATGGACATCAACATTGATACAATCCACCAGTAGTATTTATGTTTCCCAAGTTTTACTTGTACTTTTGTGTGTGTGTGGCCACGTGTTTTTAGTTCTTTACAACATTATCACATGTGTACATTTGTGTATCCACCATCAGAGTCAAGTGCAGAACAGATCCATCATCACAAGTATCCCTTGTGCTACCCTTTTATAAACACATCCACCTGCCCCTCCCACCCCACCTCAGTTCCTAACCTCTGGCAACCGTGACTCTGTTCTCCATTTCTGTAATTTTGTCTTTTCAAAGCTGTTATATAAATAGAATCATACTGTATGTAACCCTCTGTGATTGGCTTTGTTTTTTTCACTCAGCATAATGCCCATGAGATTCACGCAAGTTGCTGGATGTATCAATAGATGTTCCTTGTCATTGCACAGTGGTAGTCCACGGTATGGATGTACCAATATGTTTAACCATTCACCCTTGTATGGCATCTGGCTTGTTCCCAGTTCTTGGCTGTTACAAATAAAGCTAGTATGAACACTTAAGTATAGGATTTTGTATAAACAGAAGTTTTTATTGCTTTAGAATAAATGCCTAAGAGCCCAATTTCTGGATTGTATGGTAAGCACATGTTCAATTTTGTAAGAAACTGCTGGAAATGTTTTCCAGAGTTGCTGTACTATTTACATTTCCACCAGCAAAGCATGAGTGACCCAATTTCTCTATATCCTCATCAGCATTTGATATTGTCACTATATTTTTTAAACTTTTTCCATTATGATAAGTATGTACTGTTAACTCTTTATGTTTATAATTTGCATTTCTCTAATGGCTTGTAATGTTGAATATCTTTTCACGTGCTCATTTGCTTGATGTGTATGTGTAACCTGAATCCACCTAAAAACGTTAGGAGCAAGAAGGACAGGAGATGGGATTTGTCTTGAAAAAATAAAAGTCTGCCAAATTTTAATTCCCAAACCCAGTCCTAGATAGAGAAAAGAGAGCTGGCCATTAGCTCTATTGTTTAGTAGAGTTCTAACATGTATTTCTAAAGCAAGGACATTTTAGTCAAATGCAGTCACCCCTAATTACAATAGCACTTCTCTGAGCTAGATAAAAGGATTGATGAAATTTCTATTTTTGAGTTTCAGTTATGTCCTAGGAAGCACTTTTTAATTTTAGGCATCCTTTATGAGTTATCATTATTATATATTTTATTTGGAGGTACTGTTTTTGCGGCACGCGGGCCTCTCACTGTTGTGGCTACTCCCGTTGCGGAGCACAGGCTCCGGACGCGCAGGCTCAGCGGCCATGGCTCACGGGCCCAGCCGCTCCGCGGCATGTGGGATCTTCCCGGACCGGGGCACGAACCCGCGTGCCCTGCATCGGCAGGCGGACTCTCAACCACTGCGCCACCAGGGAAGCCCTGGAAATACTCTTACTGGACTCTTTAATCTGCAGTAGTTTATTTATACACTAAAAGTACACTCATTTCCTATCTCTTTGTAAATGTGTTTGGGGACACTTGTTTGTTACAGAAAGTTCAGTTGCAAATGCAGTTTGTTTCATTTTTAGATTATTTTTAAAAAGCTATAATGCTGCTTAGGCTCTGGAAATAGATAAATGCAATTACCTTTGCATTTTGTTTTCTTTTCAAACAGACATTTTGCCTCCTTCCTTCAAATGTTTCCCCTTTATCTTTAACAGGTTGATTTAGTGAATATTGGAAGCACTGACATAGTAGATGGAAATCATAAACTGACTCTTGGTTTGATTTGGAATATCATCCTCCACTGGCAGGTAAGAATCCTGATGATTTTTTTTTTGGTGGGGGAAGGTACCGTTGCTGATCCTTGCTTTCAGTTTTACCATTGATTTGCAAAACCTGTATATCCATAATAACAATACAAAGCCCATCTCCATAGTGCTGCCTTTTTAACTGGGATGATTGTCATCTGCAATGTGAAGTATCAGCAGATTATAAAACAGGTTCTAGCACATTCGCAGGAATATTTTTCTAAATTTTATTTCACTGGGTACAGGTGAGGCAAAAAAAAAAAAGAAAACTTTTCACAAATAGGTCTTTTGTAACTCACCTAAAAGTAAATCTGCATAGTTTTGTAAGAAGAGGGGCATTTTTCCTGTTAATCACTATCAAATGAATAAGACTTTGTGAATTGTGTGTATTCTCAATGTAAACTAATGCCAATAAAAGATTATTGGGATATGATGATCTGTATATGTGTTATACAGAAAAACTTACTTCATAGTCTGATTTGGAAGTTGCATTTTTTCTGAACCACCTCAGCACAGGGTCTTCTGAATGCCTATATTTACTGGTCCTCTGCAAAATGGATCACAGATCATTGGTTTAGTGAAGAGTATATATTTTTTTAGTCAGACCGACAGGAGCTTAGGTTTTAACTTCCTCATTTACCATCTTAGTGGCATTGGATATAATGTCATCCCTTTCTGGGCCATAGTTCCCTCACTATCAAAAGTGAAAAAAAAAATGAACACGTATATTTCTTGTCAGGATTAAATGAGAGAATTACCATAAAGCACTCAGTACAGTGTACCATTTTCCTTAGAGGCACATCATACTAGTAACTCTTTTTTTTCCCATTCATATTTTAAGAATTTGGAGGGTAAATGAGATGCCGGCTCTTTTTACTGGTAGAGATTACTTTTTTATATAACAGCTTCTTTTGAGATATAATTTATATATCATAAGTTTACCTGTTCTATGTGTAAAATTCAAAGTATACCAAACTGGTTTAGTTCTGTTGCCCAGCACTTCTCAAACTATTTTGAGGAAGAAACAATTCCCCCCATCTGTCAAACATTGTAGGATATTTACAGAGTTGTACAATCATCACAACAATCTAACTTTAGCACATTTCCACCACCCTAAAAATAAATCTCATGTCACTTTCCTCTCCCACCCCCAGCCCTAGGCAACCATTCATCTGTTTTCTGTCTCTATATGTCTGCCTTTTTGGACATTTCATACCAAATGCACTCATACAATATATATTCTTTTATATCTGTCTTCTTTCACTGAGCATAATCTTTGAGGTCCATTCCTATTGTAGCAGGTATCACTACTTCCTTTAGTAAGGTTGACTTTTAACTTGAATTGTAGATTGGTCCTGCTCGGAGTCAGACAGCATGTAGACCAGAGGTATACCTACTGAAGTCAGTAGCCATATTGTTCTCCCAATTGACTCCCATATCTTTTATTGTAAACACTCTGAGCTGGCTCAGTCCTATTTCACAGCAATATGGGAAGAGAGAGAGAACAACCATAGCGGCTGACAACAGAGAATAGCTCATAAGAGACTCAGATGAGCCCAAGATTCTCAACTCTGGGCTTTTTTCATGTAGTGATGGTATCAAATAGAACCAGCAAGGCAACATAGGGCCCCCCACCAAACTGGTTTCCTTCTGTTGCTCAGTACTTCTCAAACTATCTTGAGGAAGGAGCAGTATTTTCCCCCTTTTCCATTGTGTGTAAATTACAATAAAACTGAAGCATTAGAAAAATGAAATCAAGAGACACATAAAACCCAAGTTTGTTTTTTGTTTGTTTGTTTGTTTTCTTTTTGGCGGTACGCGGACCTCTCACTGTTGTGGCCTCTCCCGTTGCGGAGCACAGGCTCTGGACACGCAGGCTCAGCGGCCATGGCTCACGGGCCCAGCCGCTCCGCGACACGTGGGATCTTCCCGGACCGGGGCACAAACCCGCGTCGCCTGCATCGGCAGGCAGACTCTCAACCACTGCGCCACCAGGGAAGCCCCCAAGCTTCTTTTTTAATCATTAAACTCAACCGACATAAATAGGACTCTGTAAAATTGCTATGGAAGTTTCTAATGGACTATCAACTGTTGTATTGATATTTATTTTATGGCCTCGTAACAAATTGTTCATGGAGAGACCCCAGCTTGCAGAAAACACTTGAGTTGCACAGATGGCAGTCATGACAAAGCCAGCAGGAGGACTTGGGCGTGCTCAGAGCCCCAAAAGGCTATTTTAATTGTATTTATCACCCAAACTGTCTCTCATATGATCTCACCCTTTCCTGTCTCCTCAAAACCCTTTCCAATTCCCTCTCAACTCACTGCAGGATAGAGTTTAAAACTACCCTGTCTGATATTTTCTTCATTTGCTTGTGCGTGTGCTCATTTTTTTAATTAGCATGAGGAAGGGCTTTCACATCAGGAATAATACCAGAAGGAATGCTTTTGCAGTCTTTCCTGGTCTGAGACTTCTCTTAGAGTCTTCTGTTTTCCATCTATGTCCTCAAATCACCATATCCTTGTGATTGCAAGGATGTAGACTCTCCCCAGCCTCTGCCTCTTTATCTTATCTCTCTTCTATCACACTGCCCTGTTCTACTAAAACTACTAAATCACTTTTTAAAAGTTCCTCCTGCCCGATACTCCTCATCATGACCCAGTGAATCGCGGAAGATATTTTCACCAAGAGTGCCTATTTGCCTTCTTATAAAATAGTCAAAGAAGCCCTTGAGTCTCAGTAAAGATTAAAGGACACAGCAACCTAATGTACTTTCCAGATCTATGAGATTAAGTATTACATGAAGAGATGGAAGGATGTGAATCTTTGGTTCCAGTGTCATATACTATGTTATTACTATTGCTGTGGAGGCCTTCTCTCTGAACTTGCAGAAACTCAGG